TTCAGGTCAATCCACAAAACACCAAACCCAAAACAACAACATTTCGTCGTTTGAGCCTCTAATGGTCGAGCTAGACCGACTACCACAACGCCGTCCTCAAGTGTTTGTCAGTTTCTGCAAAGACGAGCTTGGCGACACTTTTGTCAGCCATCTCGTGTGGGCTTTGAGAGACTCAGGGATCAATGTATTCACAGAAAGCTACAAGCTTAGAGGTAGGGAAGAACAACAAGAAGTATTCACAAATATAGAGATGTTGAATATCGCGCTAATCATCTTCTCAAAGAGGTACTCTGTGTCAGATTTGTGTTTGAACGAGCTAGTGAAAATGGACAAGCTTGCAAAAGAAGGAAAACTCGTGGTCATTCCCGTCTTCTACAATGTTAACAAGAACGAAGTTAGAAGACTCGAGGGAGATTTTGGAATACATTTTGCAGATACAAAGGAGAGATTTGCAATGGAGCCACTTATGATTCGAAGTTGGGAAGAGTCTTTGAAGTCTATTATTACAGGGAGGATTGGCTTGAGCTTGGAAACACACATGTATGTATTAAGAACATTGAATCAATTCTTTGTTTTAGGTAGTAAGACTTTGTGTGTGTTTTTAGTCGTCTCATATCACTTTCCTTTACTCACGTGTTGCAGAAACGAATTTGCTTTTGTTGCTGCCATTGTTAGAGGTGTTACAAGACTGGTACCAAATTCAAAAAGACGAAGAAAACTTGGGATTGGAGAAGTGTTTTTCAGGGCTTTAACTGCAACTTTTCTCTTTGCACTCTTCATATATCCTATGCCTATGCCTGATGTAAATTTTTACAAAATTGGTAAGTTGTTATTAGGCTTTCCATTTTTTATTGTTTTCTTGCACCAAGTTTTATGTTAATAATGGAAACACCAAAAATAGATTGATTTTTTCTTTTCTGCTTGTTGGTTGTGTGCTTCTATGGAGTTTGGATTGTAACCATGGATCATAGTTGAGGTATGAATTGGCCGATTTCCCGGTCTATCAAATCTTGGGATAATTTGCTATAAATACAACAACAAAATTATAACTTAAAAAATAAACAAAAACCCCAAATCATATAGTTATGATTTTGCCACATACCCTA